TTACCTGGGTTGTCTGTGCATATCCTTGAGCTGGCTGAGGTGCATAAGCGCTGTAGCTGTAAAATGAATTTAAAGACATTTAGAATGCTTCCCCCTACTTCTGACTCGCGCAAAACATGTATCACAAGACAATTTTCACATATCCAAATGATTTCTACTGAAATACGATGGCAATACAAAATCTAAAAGCTAAAGAAAAACTATAGAATTTACAAACATAGCCGAGGTAAGGCTAAACCACAATTATTATATACTTATATTACATCTTTTTAAAACAAGAGAGGATAAGACCATAATGCTACTTACCCCTGCTGAGCTGCAGCTTGACTATAGGTACTATAATCTACAAGGAAAGAAAAAAAAAAAAAAAAAAAAGAGAAAAAGGTTGACAAAGGGGAAAAAAAATCCTCTTATGAGGGAGAGGACATGTCCTGCTGGGGACTGCACTGCAATTAAGCAACTTGTTTTGCTTCCCAGCATGACTGAGGTGGCAGGATAATACTGGAACAACAGCATTAGTTACAAAAAAAAAAAAAAAAAAAAAAAAAAAAAAAAAAAAAAAGAGAAAAAGGTTGACAAAGGCGTAACAAAATTAACGGTGTAAGAGCACAGCAGCTGGAATTTCCTCCTGCAGCTTGAAAGAACTGCTATAAACCACTGGAAATCCGTGTTTCAAAAGAGCATAAGGTAAATGCACTTTTTCAGTCTTTTTGAAGGAAACAAAACCTCTCTTCCCTTCATTGTTACCACTGTGTGCAGCAGTAACTTTGATCTCAAATGACCCTACTTTAATTTAACTGCCACCTTGGATGACACCCAAGGGGGCTGGCAGGAGGGTGTTTTGTTTTGGAACAAAAGAAACACTGGGGCTGACACTTACAACCCTCCTCCCCTAGTTTTAAAGGGCAAGGTTTCGAGCTTTTGGATCTGTAGAAACCACCACGCTTCACTCTCTCTATTTAACTTTCAAGGCCACAACCAAATGGCTGGCAAGCTCTAACGCTTGTCCCCTAGCAGGGTTTGAGATGGGCAGCTAGCAGTAATTCCTTCTTCAAAGTCCCGATCCACACTGATACCCTGATTTAGAGGAGAATTGAAATCCTGAAAATCCAAGCTGAAAAGTCAATGCTGAACTGGTTTGCTGGTGGGAATGGAAAATTGTGTCCACATGGCAACTGTAAGGCTATATTTGAAATTATTGCAGCTCCTAAATGTACGCTTTCCCTCAAAGTCACCAAGCAACTCCAGTTCCCATCCAAACTTCTAGAGCGAACGATGAATTCATCGCTCAGACCAGCCCCTTGCCAGGCAGATCCCAGCTCTCCCGCAACCACAAAAGTCCCGAGGACAGAGATCAGGAACGAGCCCAGACCTTGCTCCCATTTGCTGCTGGGGCCACAGCATCTGACTGAGCTGGAGGCAGAAGCTGGACGTTAGCAGAGCTTTTCTCAGGCAAAGCCAGAGAGTCCTGTGCGGGAAGAGGTTTTGGTGTTTCTATCACAACTGCACCTTGGGGTACGCTGATCTCAGTCAGAAAACTGAGGATTATGAATTTGAGGAACCCGGTTGACAACTTCCTATGGCCTTCAGTTATCCCTACGTTTCAAGGACCGCTTTAACGGCTTCATTGCTTTGTTCACAACTGAAGGTGACAGAGTGCCAGGAATCATTTTGAAAAGACTCTTTTCATACACCAGAACCTCCTGTTTCTTGAGGCCACAGATTCACCCCTAATAAACCTTCTGTCTCCTCCTCCTAACCCCTCTACGTGAGCTTTTCCGCCTTCGCACTTCCCTCTGCTGATGCCAGAGCTGAGACCCCGGCGCGCGTGTTGATGGACAAGGAAAGGAAGTGCCCCAACTCTGGCAGTGATTGTTGGGAGATATTAATTACTCTGACCTTGCATCAGAGCGCAGGAATCAGTATGAGCACACAAGAGGATCGAAATATCACACACAACAGAAAGACGCTGAACTGCTATCCAAAGGCTTCCACGCTCCCAAGACGTGGCACCCAAGTTGTTAAACCACTCTGGCACCGCTCCTGCTTTCCTTACAGGTTGTCATGTTTAATATTGAATAATCTAGCTCGTTAAATTCAGGGTCGCTGCTCTTTTTTTTTTTTCCCCAGTCTGTATGTGGCTCTGCTAAATCCTGAGCATTAAAAACCATGAAGGCCCATTCTCCCTCTTTCATCTTCCCTCTCCTGTCACCTCCTTGTACCAGCACTCCTCCATCCTCCCCTGTATCTCACCCTACACCCTCCTCCTCCTTTTTTCCAAGCCTGTTCACCCTCTAACCACTGAAACCTCCATACTCCTCACTTAATTCTCATTGTCAGCACCCCTTTGGGTCGCCACAGTCCTCCAGGCTGTTAAAAACCAGCCAGGCTGCTAAGCAGGGAGCTCCCCAACCTTCATCCCTGTCTGGTAGACCCTCAACAACCTCCCCCCCTCCCAAAGAGCTGCTGGGGCCTTGAGCTACGCACAGTTTTTGATCGAACACCCATCTCGCACCCCTTCTTGCAGCCTTCCCCCAATCCTACCTAGACATGCCATTTTTCCCCTTTGTAGGATTTAAATCCAGGCATTGAATTTGCAGTTTACCTCTGGTAATCCCCCTCTTCTAATTTGCTCAAATTCAAGATAATGCAAAACATTAAAAAAAAAAAAAAATTACGGTTCATTTAGCTAAAACCATCTCCGAGCCTTTATTTCCAGTGGGAAATTAATCTTTATCCTTCTATTTCACGAGGCTCAAGAGCACAATAGCGCAGCCAAAAATAGCAGCTCCCACGGAAGAACATTTCCATGTATTAAGTGGAAAGACAGCTGCATTTTTAAACCCCATTTTGACAATTCCATTGGCAGATGTTTCTTTGGTAACTTTTTTTTTTGGTTGGTTGTTTTTTTTAAGTCTCTCCAAGGTGATATTTAGTCATATTCGCTCACACTCCAGGGCTTGTGACATTTTCCCCTCTGGAGAGGTCCGACCTTCGGCTGTTGGGCTTTAAGGTTACTTTAAGGCTGAAGTTGCCATGGTTGGTTTATGTCTCGGGTTTGACCTATTCTCGTCCAGTTGGAGCCCTCGTGTAAAAGGACGTTTTACCTTCTGCGACGCTTCACTGGTTTTATTCAGAGAAATTACATTTGCACCAGAAAGCGGCCTGAGCAGCCACCAGAAAGGCCGAAGGCACGGAGGAAGCCTTCGGTAAGGACGGAGATCTCCTGAAAGAGCAGAACTCGAAAGAATCTTCCAGGGCTGGAGCACCAAGGATGTGCTATTGTAAACAACCCTTTAACGGAGGCAATCTGGGCACCGCAGCCCCGGGGAGCCACCGGAGGGGTCCGGCCACCGCGGGGAC